CTGCGGCGGCTATTTTTTGAGGTCTTCGGCCAAATCATACCCCAACAGGGGGGGGAGCCAAAGCATTGCCGGGACTTCACGAGAATTCCTAAACTAAATTATTAATTTATTTTATATATGTATATATATATATATTAAAAGCGATTAGAAAAATTAATTAAAAATACACGAGAAATTTAATTTTTCAGCGGGCTTCCTCTTTTTGATTTTAGTTCTAGGGAGGAAGCGTTTGCCTAGGGACAATAGTCCCGAACCCGATCCCAACGGGGGGAGGCGAAACGCTGCCGAAATTGTTTCTACAAAATCACAAAATTTTATTTCTACCCTTAAAAAGCATCAAACTCGGTGAGCTTATAAATGTGTTTATCCACGATGTATGAAAAATAAGAGAGGGATTTTATCTTAGCTAGTTACATTTTTTTTTAATTTTTAATTGAAAAATACAAAGAATTGCCTAAAGAAGGAGCGAAAGGGGCGTTGTCGTAGGGAAGACAACGTAACTTGTCCCCGAAGGAGTGGAGCAAGTGACAGGCCGTCAGTTGGATGAGGTCGCAGGTGCAAGAAGAGGTCTATGGGGCCACGATTGAAGGGGACTTGGAGCCCCCTGAACTCATAGAAGGAGATCTAGTCGAGCTCACGATCCCTGGACGCGGAAGTCGACACTTTGACGGTCAGTTTGCGTGGAGGTCCATAATCTTGTCGGAGGACGCGTGACTTTGGACGTACAGGGAGCACCGGCCGGCGCAAGGAGTAGGCGTAGTGAGAGCCTACTTGTATTTAGGACCGGATGCGATCAGGGAGGCTGTAGTGGGCCTCGTGACGACAGGGACTAGTGGCACGGTTAGCAGCGTGTTACGCTACCTAGAGGACGAGGTAGCTGCCTTCCGAGCAGAGGACTCGAGCGACCCGTTGACCTTATTTCACGGGCGCCCTCCTCTTGATATCTCGGGCGAGCTGGTGATAGCACGGGGCGGGTTTTTCCCGTACAATGTTAGGAGCCTGCGAGCGGTAGTTCCGGCGTTCGTGGTAGAGAGCGTCTTTGGAGGAATTGGTGGAGTAGTGGAGACATACCTGGCCTATCAGGATCTCAAGATCCTGGCGAGGAGCACTACAGATTTAAGCTACATCTTTTATTCACTCGCGACCGAAGGACTTCGTTGGGGAGACGAGAGGGTTCAGCTTATAGAGCTGATCCGCTCGATAGACGACGAGTGGCCCCAGTCTCCGTGCGTTTGGGATTGGCTAGACCGTGAGCTCCGAGCAGGACCCGAGTACGTGACCTACATCGGGCGGCTCTTCTCAGACGACTGGGAGAGCTAGTGGGGTGAGAACGTCGAGCAACCTCTGATATACGGCCACCAGTTGGCCCAATACTACCAAGGTATAGGACAGGCCCCATACCGAGTCGAGGACGAGTTTGACGACGGAGGATGGGAGCGAGAGGGCGACGAGGACGTCTAGGGGCCGGACTGGGTTGACCCGGAGAATGAGATTGACGAGGAGGGGATTGACGTTACAGACGCCCATTTCCCCAGGATAGGAGTAGCATTCCTGGAATAGGAGGTTGAGAAGCATATTAGGACGACGGTTGAGTGAGTCTTGGCTACTGATATCAGCGAGTAGTTGAGAGTATGGCAGACCAGGATATACTGAGGGTGACTCTTTCCCTACGACGAGATAGGACAAGAGGTTGGGAGGATGAAGCGTTAGGCAATGTAGAGCGACAGGTCAGACTCATGACGGAGCATGCCCTGGAGATACGGAGAAGCCAGAGGTACGTCAAGTTCACTATCTACTACCATGGAGCCGACGGGAGAGTGCACAGCTCCTACTCAGCCATACTGGATCTGAGTAGGAGAGTTGTCTGAAGAGTCGGCAGCATCGAGAGATAGGGTGCGTCGGAGGGATTAGAGCACTACAGATCGAGAGCAGGAGAGGAGATGAGAAGT